CTCTCCTTTGTGGTTGTTGTCTCAGTGTGTGTGTGTGTGTGTGTGTGTGTGTGTGTGTGTGTGTGTGTGTGTCTCACTGGCCTGGTGCTCACCCAATATGCTAAGCCCCAGGAATCCACTGCCTCGACCTCCCCAGTGCTGGGGTTCAAAGGGTACACTACCATGTGGGGTTTTGCCATGGATTCTGGAGATGGCACTCAGGCCTGATGTTTGTGAGGCAAGCATTTTACAGAAAAGGCTCTCTCCCAGCCCTGATCTTGTACCTTTTCGTGAGTACATATGTTTATTTCTGTGGTAGTGTGATGGTTAATCTTTGCTGTCAGTCTGACTGGACTTGGAGTCATTAGAAGACACTCAGGTGAAGGATTTCCGCAGAGGTTCAACCAAGGAGGAAAGCCCCATGCTAGCCCAGTGGCACCGTGGGCTAGGGGCCCAGGCTGAAGAAAGGGCTGGGAGCGAGGAGGAAGCCTGATGAGCGTCAGCATTCATCTCAGCTTCCTGACTGCAGGTCCAGTGCAAGCGCTGCCCTGTGCTCCCACTGCCTGGCTTTCCTGCCCTGATAGCTGTGTGTGCTTTGTCACACTAGCGGGGAAGGAATAAGAGGAAGAGGCTCTGGGGACAACTTGTCACCAAGGCTTTGAGGGACCCCAAGGCTTTGGGGAGCTCTTTCTTGGCTGCTCTCTATGGCTTAAGTGGCAGCAGGAACTGGTGCCATTAAACTGTCTCCGAAGTGATGTTTCATAGCCAAAGCCAAGGTCAGTAGGGCCACCTAACAGGTAATGAGGTGGAAGCAGCAAGCAGATTCATCCAAACCTTCACGATCCTGGGACCCTAGAAAGGAGTAGATGGGTAGCCTACTGAAGCCTTACTGGGTATCCTCACCTCCACACGCGTGCCCATGCATGAAAGTAAGTAAGTAAATAAATGTAAAAAATTGAAGGAAGAGAAAGGTGGGGTGGCACCCGAGGAAGACACCCCAGGTTGCCCTGTGACCTCCACATGCACTCGTGTGCATACACTCATACGCACTTGCACATAGGAACTTGCAAACACATAAACACACTTAATAAGAGTACCCGTGGGGCTGGGCGTATAGCTCAGTGATAGAGCCAGCATGCATACTGCTTCCATCCTCAGCACCACAGACAGGCACCAGAAAATCCCTAGCAGCATTTTTCCAGCCACCTAAAACTAGGCATTACTCTAGTGTCCATTTAAAGGAGGAGAGATGAATAGCGGAGTGTGTGCACAAAAAGGAGCCTTGGGGGGTTTTATCCTTGGCTCACTAGTCCACTTCCATTATTGGGAATGCCTTCTCTTTGTTAATAAGCTTTCTTCATTTCTAAACAAAAAGAATGAGCATGGCTATAAAACATGGGTGAATTTCACAGCGGTGATAGATAATTCAAGAGGCCTCACAAGAAATAGTGCAGACAGCTCACTTAATTCCACTTATCCTTCAAACATGCCAAACTAATGTGTGGTGATGGGTTAGTAACTGTCCTTGCTAAGAAGAGTGGTACAGAGGCAGCACAAGGGGTCTCTGGGAGGTTGGTCATGGCACAGCGCCAGCACAGTGTCCCAGATCTACACTCTTACCTCTTCCAGACAGTCGCAGGCCGTTATTGATGGCATTTTTGCTTCTGTAGGGCTTCTCCTGGCCCACTATCGTCCCAGTGAATGGTGCATACACAACAGATCCATCTGAGCAGAGGACATCCACACCTGGGTGATGCCTGGGACTTCTAGAATATAAAGAAGAGCCATCAGACTGAGGGGCTGCCTCAGGGAAATTTATTGCCAGGATTCTGTTCATAGAGCACAGATCCTAGCCTTGGGCATCCAAACTTGAAACAAGCAGAAAATATTGCAGGGCCAGGGATATTTTGTTCTGTTTAGCCCAATTTTAACCTCTCTGCCCATGAGTACTAATGGCCATATTGTAAAAATTAAATAATTTAAAATCATATTTGCTTGACAGTAAGCCTTAAATATTATAATTATGGTATTTTAAAAAATGAGTCAGGGTGTATAAATATATTTTATAGTTGTCTGACTCTTGGTCCCTTCAAGGCCTTTTATTTTTCAATGTTGGGGATCAAACCCAGGGCCTCGTGGGTACTAGGCAAGTGCTGTACTACTGAATACCACTACACACCCACTCCTCTCAAGACCAACTAAAAAGAGTTACTGTTTTAGGGAACCTCTTGTATAAATAGCATATGTTCCCCGGGTCTTGTTTTTTTCTCATAGTAGAAGTAGTTATACACTTCATTTGGTGTAAAGACTGCCTTAACGCAGTGAGGGACACCTCCTCCCAGGCTTGTCAGATTGCAGGAACACAAACAAAACCATTCCTAGTGAGGCATCTAGAAGTTGTCTTTCTGATCCAGCAATTCTGGCTTCCACTGCCTTCACTGCCTGCCTACCCCCCGCCACCCCCAGCTTCCTCCCTTCTAGTGGGCACTACTGAACAATCAGATGCACAAGGATGGGACTCTTAGGATTGTGTATAAGGCAACATTGATCAGGTTCCATGGAAGTTAAGAAGTCAGTCCAATATACAAACTTTTGAGTGTGCACTCATTCTGAAGTCATTCTTACAGCTTGGCATCTCTCAGTTCTGTTGTGAGTGTTTGCATTTCTTTGTAAGTATATAATGCAAGAGCATCACTGTGATTGGGGTGGAGGTCAGTGATACCGTTTGTATATGGCTGCTTTGTCCACAGCGTGCATGTTATTGGAACCTCGGGACTATGACCTTCATCTAGAAGGGGTCAAGAGGTTCTTGCCTGTTCAGGGTCAGTTTCTAATGTTAAAATTCCAGAACCTTGGTCAGTAACAGCATGGCCAATGCAAAAAGAATCCAAAAGGCTGAATTCAAGTGTAGCCATCTCCAGCTCTGCTGGATGATCGATCACTTCAAATTCCTTATGTATAAAATACAATAGAATAGTTTGGCTCTTTTTACACTGGAAAGCCAGATGAGGTAGGAGTGTGTAGAGAAAAGAAGTCCAGAAGGAGCGTTTTGATTCCTTTCCCTTTCACTCAGTCCCTGCTGTCTCCAGTACAGACCTCATCTTTGAAGCATAATCTCACAAACTGCTTCAGATATAGTCATTGCTGCACACATACCACTGGGTTCCAGTCTGTCGGAGGGAGGTCACTGTAAGCCCTCTAGGAAACACAGGACAAAGACAATACGAAAAGAGGAGAGGAGTCGGGTGGCAGTGGCACACACCTTTAATCTCAGCACTCAGAAGGCAGAGGCAGGTGGATCTCTGTGAGTTTGAGGACAGCCTGGTCTACATAGAGAGATTCAGGACAGGCACCAAGACTACACAGAGAAATCCTGTCTCGAAAAACCAAACCAAACCAAAACAACAACAAAGTACCTTTGAGCAGAATACTGTCCGCAACCATAGCTGTCACAAGTCCGGATCTCATTGGCAGATTTGCTGGCACATATGTTAGCCCAAGGTCCTGCCACGGCTGCAGAGGAGAAACGTGAGAGCCATGGGTGTCTCCAGCCTGTGTCTCCCCTGTATGTCTACTCCCCAGTCCCTTTGGGAGTTTATAGGTCAGTTTTTCCTATGGACAACTGACTCAGACATAAAACTTAGCCCCCTTGCTATATTATTCTGTCTGTGGCATATAAAGTACTTATTTATAAGCACTAAACTCCTCGTCTCACTGTTTCAAATCATTCATGAATACATGGTATAAATTGTGCTTTCCAATTTTTACTTTGCTTGTTATGGTTAAGCAAAAGTAAATAGCGTAGCTTTAAAGAAAACAACTTTAGGAACTGTACGGTAACCATGAAATGTTGCTTTATAGTCAGGTCTAAGAATGGCACCCCAGCAAATGTCTGACTCACAGGCAAGGCATACTCTCCACTTGTGAACTTCACACAGCATGGACTAAGTCTCATATTTGCAGACACAGAAGTGGGGATTTGAGAAGTAATCTAAAGTGTTAAACTACAGTGAGCCTGAAGTCAGGTCAGAAGGGGTCTGGGAAGGGAGTAAAAATGATTATATTACGGTTATGAAGAGTAAACATGGTGAGAGGCAGTTGTCTCTCTCAGCATATTTTGTACAAACTTTAAGTGCAGCCTACACCGTTAATATTGTAAGTAATATCAACTGAATTTAATTGAATTCCCCAATTCTTGATGTTCATATTCACAGAAAAACAGTTAGCAATTTTAGCCTCTCACTTTGAGGCAAAAACAAGAGCCTGCTAATTTGATAGTTGGTTTTATTTAAAGACATTTTAAGCCAGGTGGTGGTGGTGCACGCCTTTAATCCCAGCACTCAAGAGGCAGAGCCAGGCGGATCTCTGTGAGTTCGAGGCCAGCCTGGGCTACCAAGTGAGTCCCAGGAAAGGCGCAAAGCTACACAGAGAAATCCTGTCTCAAAAAAACCAAAAAAAAACATTTTACTCTTCACTAATATATATGCTGTGAAGAAAAGCTAAAGAATATGGCTGTTAAGTATATTCTTTACTGCAACTTAAACTGTTAGTCTCAAAAGCCTTCTACTGTAGATCCAAGCTTCAAATGAATCCTCGAGCAGGCTCCAACAGCATGGCTCTGGAATATCCAGCATCTATCCTGGACAACTGAGGCATCTAGTGGACATTTTATTATTAATCTGTTTTTCTTGCCTACCATGAGCATCAACAGGACTTTCCCTTCATTCCAATCCGGCCTTGCATCAGGAATTTCCCACATCCAATTCATCTAACTCTTACTTGAGATTTTTATCTTCTAGGGTTTTTGTGGGGAGGGGGTGGGAGTGTTAACTGATTAAATTCCAGGCCAGGCCAGTGAACACCCTTACCCCCAGCGCTTGGGAGGCAAAGCCCAGCCTGGACATCTGGTTGACCTGCGTCCAGGAGAAAGAAGAGAGGCAGCTAGCGTGCTCACCCTGGAGTATTGGTCTACTCCACTTCTTAGGAGAGGAGGAATGGGAAAAAAAAACACTGAAGGGAGAGACTGAGAACCCCCTTGCTCTCCCCATGCAGGCAAATCTTTGTGGGTTCAAGGCCAGCCTGATCTACAGTGTGAGTTCCAGGAGAGCCAAGGCTACGCAGAGAAATGCTGTCTCAAAAACCAAATAAATAAATAAATTCCAGGCCAGGATTGGAAGGCTTGTCTGAAAGTCTTCCTACACTGTGTTTACATTTTCCTCACTAAAGAATCAGAACATCAAGAAGAGATGGTGGAGAAATTCCCACTGCCCTACCCACTACACCATTTTCTCACCTACTGCAACTTTAATTATTAATATCAAATTTTATGTTGCAATTTTGTTATCATTGACTTTTAAGTCTACCCCTAAGATCAGGGTTAAATCAGGTATTTTTTTTTATTTAACCAGGATTATAACAATGTACTTTCAACTTACCAGTGGAAATCAAAGCAGCTGAAATGAAGACTGCTGTAGAAAACATCTGGATTTTGCTTCTTGTCTCTTCCTCTAATTAGAATTGCTCCATACATACAGCATTCAAGTTTGGGTTAATTCTCTGCTAAGTTAGCTTTAGAATCCTGTATTCCTCCTAGATTTAGTATGAGACACGGAAAACAAAATGAGGCAAGTTAAACTGTAACATGCCGTGGAGACCTCTGTAAAAGCCTTTGATCTGGGGAAGCAGCCAGTGTTATCAGGAATCCTGACTACATATTAACAGAAATGACAGTGCTGGATGCAGACTGGTGTCCTTTGACTGGGACTGGAGGGAGCATGTACGTGTGGATGGTGGTATAGATATTTACTGTCTGCTGAAGACCTTTCTTTTCGTGGATAATGCTTGTTTCAGTAGAGAACTGACTAGTCATAATGGCAGATGCTCCCTAACAACAATATATCTACTAGGAGTGGTGTTTGGTTTTTTTTTTTTTTTATTGTCAGTTCAGTTAGATTTCATCTACATAAGATTTTAGATAAATTTAACATTTTGCCAAAATTATATTTATTTCTTTTGAGCATGTGATTTTAAGTGTTTATGATAGTGGAAATTAATACCAAAGCATCCATCAGTAGAAAAAATGTATTTGAATTATGATATCAGTCATTTGATAGAGTATAAGAGCTTAAATGAAGACTGTATATATTAACATAGTTAGATTATAAATACACTATTGAATAAAAAGCACTTCTAGAATTATGTATACTATATAATTTCTTTAAATTCCCTAAACAAAAGTGCAGCCTTTCATGAATATTACATTATAATAATGATGCAAAAACATTCAGCACAGACTGGGGAGGAGAGAGCTGGAGGCACAGAGACTATTTAAGCTCTAAATATTTTGTTTCTGAAAAAAATCAATAGCAACTATGCAAAACATTAATTTATCAATTATTGGAGACATAATGCAAAATTCCCTAATTCTCTCTGTACATTTTTTGTACTTAGATTTTCTGAATTGAGATTTTCATATATAAACTACCAGCTTCTTGACAGCCTCAACATTAGAGGAGGACTTGGACTTTTCTGTGAAGCATCCTCCTTTGCATGCCTAGTCAGCAGCTGTAGGAAACGGGTCTTTCAACACTTCACCATCTGCAGGAGTCTCTTCCTGGTCAGACTTCTCCAGCCCTTGATTTTGGCTCAGCTACATGGCCTGGACCAAGTGAATCAGAGGTGACAGTGTGGCCTGTGGACCTTGTCTTTGTGCTCACCTTCCTGTGCTCTGCCAGTGCCAAGGGGGCTACACTACATTCCCAGGCTAACCCACTGGCCCGCGGACAGAACAAAGTCATGTAGAGCAGAGGCTCGACAGCCGAAGTCAGCCAGAACACCCTACAGCAGTGTGAGCTGGGTGTCGCCTGACGTCACTGAGGCCGCAACAGTCACAGAACTGTGCAGGTAAGGCTACTTCACAGGCTCTTCAAGGAATGCGAGGGGCAGAGTGCCACCCCAATGGAGGCCTCGCAGAACTGAGTCAAAATGAGAAAAAGAATAATAGACCAGTGGGATGAAATGGTTCCTGAAGAAGACCCAAATCCATGTAGCATGTCGTACACGGGAGACACACCACTTCAGACCATCAGGGAAGGTAGAGCGGAGTGGACACATCTGAAAGGAAATCAAAACTTGATCAAAACTGGTCAAAGCGGACCAGTGTTTCCACACGAAGAGGAGGAGAGAGAAGGGGAAGTGTAAACCATGAAATTCACAGGATTTTTCTCAGTTCTGAAATAGATGAGGCCTTTCAATGTCCAAACCCCCAGAGACTGAAGGACCATTCGCTGATGGGTTGTTGCAGCTACATAATATATTATACACACACACACACACACACACACACACACACACACACACACACGCACACGCACGCGCACCCACATATATAAATCTCAGTAGATAGAGTGCTTGCCAAGCACTCACAATGCTCATAAAATAGATGTGATGCTATAAACCTTTAATTTCAGCACTCAGGGATAGAGACAGGAGGACCAGAAGTTCAAGGTCATCCATTTCCCAATATCCTAACAAAATTCTTTTTTCTATATAAAATAAGGTATTTACCTCTTAAAGTTTTTATTAAATTTGTTGTGGTGATATTTTATTTGTGCTGAAATGTGGTGATATTTTATTTGTATGTTAATAAATAAAGTTTGCCTGGAGATCAGAGGAAATAATAATAGCAAGCCATTAACACAAAAGTCAGGCAGTGATAGCACATGCCTTTAATCCGATCACTTGGCAGGCAGGGTCTCTGTGTATTAAAGGTCATACTAGGGAACAGAGCCAAGCGTAGTGACACACGCCTTTAATCCCAGTACCAACCATAGAGACCTGGAGGTCTGTAAAGATAGACAGTGACAAGGAAGTGAGGTAGCTGGGCTAAGAGCCAATGAGAGGGCAAGGCAATAAAGGCACAGGTAGACAGGAAGCAGCTCACTTTGGAAGGTGGTTGGTGGCTCTCACTATTTCCCTGAACTCTAAGGCTTTCGCCCCTATATTTGGCTCCATGTTTTTTATTTATTAAGACTGCTTAGAAATTCGTCTACACCTTGTTCTTTGACAATTCCAAGCATGTATGTAGTGCATTCTGATGGTTGTCACCTCTACATACTGAGAATTCTTACAAGAAACACCTTGTAAACAAAACAATAGGAAAACAAACAGAAGCTATCAACAGACTTTCACAACAGAATGAATACTAATCACCAATAAGTGATGGGCATGAGCTTCATTTCCCTTAGAAATGGTTACAAAACAGGAGAAGAATTTCACCTGTCAGATAGGCAGAGCAAGGATATGGGGACTCCTGAACACTTATTGAAAATAGAAGACAGTTTAACCTTTCCAGAGGACAATTTAGCAATACCTCTCATTTTCAAATGCCCAAGACCTTTGTCCCAGCAACTTTATTGCCTTTTCTGCCTGTGACCCTTTCTTTGATTTTCCTGCCTTCCTTATTAACCTTTTTCTAACCCATCTTTCTCTCTGAGACTGGAGCAACTCTCCAAACTGAAGAAGAGATGGTAGCATTCCATCTTGAAACCCTTGATGAAATAGGGTCCAGGCGGGTGTGAGTGATGTGAAAAGCTGTTGGGGAATGTAACTCGGACAGGGCAGGCTCATAATGTCTTTGCAGTGGTACCACTGTAAAAAAAAAAAAAAAAAGCGGAGGGAAGGAAACATTTTGTGCCATCTAACAGTTACCTGGCAACTCAGAGCTGATGAAAGGCTCCACTACCCAGTGTAGAGAAGCTCTAGGCCCAGGTCAGACGGAAGAGGATAGCAGGGTGATGCAGTCAGCCAAAGGTTGACTGTGGGAAGCTGTCCCTGTGAAGAACATCATGACCCTGAGCAGCAAAAGGCAGTGGGTGGATCAGAGGTTACACAAAAGAGGGATGGGGCTGGGATATTACCACTGCCCGTTTTAACACTTGGGTCACAGTGGGATTTATTGCTTATGTAAAAAGAATCCTCTGCGGATTTTATCATCTTCCTCTTTTCAAAGTACACAGGAAACATACATGACTCTCACAACATAGATGGCTCTGACTGACTTCAAAATGCCCATGGGTCTGAAGAGTGGACATGTGTATTAAACATGACGTCACAAAGTTGCAGTTATTGAGAATGGGTTTGTAGTATTTTACTACACTGTGCTCTACAGTCACTTTACAATTTGATCCATGTTTGACCTGGTCAAACACCCAGGCTTCCTGCTGGTCCTTCCTCCAGAGTTCACTCGGAAGAACGTGCTGAAGCTCTTGGACACTGGCTTTCTTGCCAAGTGCATTCAGAAATCTAAAACAAGGCCAGAACCTCTCTGCTGAAGTGCGCCTGTTGTACTCATTGTCAGAGAGAAGGCACTAGATGTGCATCCTTCGGAGACTGGGAACCGTGCTGTAGTGATGGGTCCCAACCCTTCCTACACACCCACAAGGGAGGGAAACAATTAGAAGCATGGGAATTAGTATGAACAATTTGGGAGGTGGAATAAACAAGAGGAAAATTTAGTAGAAAATAATTTCAATATAGGGAATGATTTCTGGGTTTTCCATTGGATGGGAGTGATCAGCTTATCCTAGAATCTAACAAAATCTTTTCCATTAAGCCATTTCTTTTTGTATTGTTGGAATGAACAATAGTAGATGTGTGGGTTCAAGACCCTGACAACAGAATAGAGATTAGGTTTGGCTTACCTTAAATTTGGTTGTAAGCTATAGAAGGTACACACTATCTCTTTATAGAACATATATTATACAGTGCAGCTTTCTATCATGGGTAATGCTGCATTTCAATGTTGCGCGATATCATAGATTTTTTTGCCCCAAGGCCCCTGGAGCAAAATTGTCTAGGTCTAGCTGGCAAGTATGTAGAATACAAGCCATGAATTTGCACATGTGTTCCAAGCAGAAATTACTAGTCAAGCATGGGGACTATGTCAAACTAAATTTGGACATGTCACCAGAATTTTGCTCAGCACAAAATCTTCCTCAGTTATTACTCTATTGAGGTTAGCATGGAGATTAAAATCCAATGGTCATTATTAATGGAGGATAAGTTACCTTAATCCAATTTCTGGCTCTGAGTTTTCTCAGTGCTCAAGTCTCAGATGTAGAGAGAATGAGTCAAGTGCCTAGGGACCAAATTAATGAGCACAGAAACAGATGATGATGATAGATAGATAAATAGTTGATAGAAAGGTGTGATAGGTAGATTGATTGATAGAAATATATGATAGATGATGAATAGATAGATGATAGATACATATATACACAGATAAATGGCAGATTGATAGGTAGGTAGATAGATAGATAGATAGATAGATAGATAGATAGATAGATAGATAGATAGATAGATAGATAGATAGATAGATAGATAGATAGATGGATGGATGGATGGATGGATGGACGGACGGACGGACGGACAGACAGACAGACAGACAGACAGACAGACAGACAGATAGATAGATAGATAGATAGATAATGTTATGGCATAAAATCTTTTTGTGCACTGTGAAGATGTGTCTTTGCCAAGTGCCTTCTAATTGGTTTAATCCTTACCTAGGCAGAAAATATAGGTGGGACAGCCAGAAGGCGGACACTGGGAGGACAAAGGGTGGAGTTTGAGGAGTCTCGAGAATGCAGAGAGAAGC